GCTCAAAAATGGAAAGAACCATTTTATATTCATCAAACTCTTGATAAAGATGCATATCGACTTAGAATAATGAATGAAAAAGTTCTTAAAAATTTGTATAATAAAGATCATTTGAAATGTTATATTGAAAATAATAGTCTAGAACCTATAATTGTAATTTAAGATTAATCAATAACTGACCGAAAGGTCAATAAACTAAGCTAACAGAATTGATTAAACCTTATGTCACCTTAACTGGGACAAGAATCACAATTAATACAAATGATAACTCAAAAAGCACCAACTACTTTGGAAAATTATCATCGATTGAAAAGTTATCATCCACAACTAACAGTTCATGATAGACTTTACAATTTGCCGCATATTTGCAAATCAAAATATTGGAATAATTCACCACATAGAGAATACAAATACAATAACTATAATGAGATGAAAACAATTATTGAAATGGAAGATTATTTAGAAAAAAAAACCCAAAAATAGATAATATACATTAACTAATTGTACTTGTCACTGGTGTAGAAATTGCTGGCGAATGATACATATTGGATGCAGAAATTGTGATGAAAATGCTGTAGAAAATGTCACTGTATTATTAGATGAAATGAAGATAAAATTGAAGATTTACGTTAACTTGATGAAAAGAAAATCTTTTATTATAATGAAGAAGATTTGTCTCTAGATAGAAGAGAAGGTTGGGAAATACCTTATCAACAAATAGAAGAAGAATTTGTTGAAGAAGATAATGATGAAAAGAAAATAGATCTACCTCAAGTAGAAGAAGATTATCCTCGCTATTACTCTGGTTACTACTATTATGAAGAAGCAGAACAACATTATCCTCTTTACAGCAGGGAAGATATTCCTCTCAAAGATAATAATAAAGTACTTCTTCATCATCACCATTATCATCATCATCTTCATCATCAAGAAAATGAATTCCTGGCATCACGATCTGAATCTAACAGCATTATTATAAAAATCAATGACTGAATCAAAAATTGGACTAGAAATCAGTCTGAAAATGGTTGTAATCACATGTATGAGACCATTCAAGCTGCTGGATCTCAGTCAGATAGTCAAGAAAAGAATAACAGGTGAAAGAGAATAAATGTTCACCTTCCCTCACCTGAAAACAATAATCAACCCATCAACGATATCACCAATAGCAGCTGGAATACAACCAGTATTCCATGGACTGAAAGTAATAGCGAAAATGATGGAACTGATGATGAAATCACCAAAATAAAACAAAAACCAGAAAACTGAAGTGGAAGAAAAGAAAAAGAGACAAAAAAGGAGAAAGAAGCTCTACAGCAACCATCACACATCACCACAAACTCATAAAATGACAATTGCGAATGGCACCACTACCATTGGAACAATAGAAATTGCCACGTGAAGAAAAAGCATGATAAAGCAATATTTCCCTTAAGAAAATGTGAAATTTGGAAAAATGCTGCCACCGCTCTCAACAAAAATGCCAACCAAATCCATAATAACACTTATCAGAATAAAAAAAATAAGAGAAGAACAACAGAAAAACCAAAATCACCACCAGAAAACTCACAAAAATTTCTAAATCCATGGTGAAACTGCAACACTTCGCCAAACAAAATACACAACGACGAAGCGTAGTTTCTCTATAAAAACTGAAAAATAGTGAACATGAGAGCAGCGCATCCCCAAGAAATAGTAAAAATAATTTTTACTGGAAAAATAGTTAGCTCTTACAGTCAAAACACAGTAATAATAATATTATTATTATTAATAAAATGAAGAAAAAGGAAAATAATATCTACCCAGCCAAACAGTAGATCAAAAATGAATCAATCAGATAATGTCATACAGATCTATGAAATTAACACCATGCACACCATTAATAACACTAATGACACTAATAATCCAATTAAAAATAAAAAATAGGAGCATGGAACAATCCAGAAATTGTGGAACTTAGCACAATAGCTTGGAAATTTGGCATGAAATCAGTCCAGACTATAAATTCACAAAAATCAAAGATTCCATCCCTTTTGACCTAGCATCTAGCCAATTTAATTTATTTTTCTTATATAATATAAATAGAATCTCTTTTCTTTTCATTTTTTTTATTATTTAAATATCAACTTTAAATTCTTTTGATTATTATAACTATATATAACAATTATAATTTCTTTTATTATTTTTATTTTTAAAAAACAATATCTACTATTTTTCTATTATCAGAAATATTAGTCTTATCCAACCAATTATTACAAATGGTGAAAGAACAAAATTATCCATATTGAGTTATTGTAACCAGAAATGGAATTCATTATTTTCATGAAGAAGAAATCAATATAATTATTGAACAAGATTACATGCCAGAACAACCAATAGAAGAAGTTAACATTACTCTGGTATCAATATTAACCAAACCAGAAGCAAGAATTTTGGATGGAATTAAGAATGTAGTCAACAAATTTGAATGCACATCCTATTCACCAAGATTAATATTTAATACTGATATCCTAGCTGATTACTTTGCCATGTTGAAATTAGAATGCTACACTCAAAATGCTATATATTTTGAAATTGAACGCATCTTAGTAGATTTGACAGCAGTATATTCAGCATTAAAACAATATGCTAAAGCACAAAGTATTATGAAAAGATACATCGTCATCACCAATATCAAACAAAAAGTTTATACAACGTTTAGAATTCACTTGTATTTCCAACAAAACCCTGGGTATACATATTGAAAAATTTGGATTAATATTTTAAGCCTAGCACTATTGGAAGATTGACTAAACACAATAGTAATAGACTTAGAACTAGAATTAATTGATTAATTAATTATTTTATGGAGCAAAATATTGATAATGTGAATTCTATCATAATATGACATTTAACAAATAATCTTATTGGATAAGATTTATATTAATTATTATTGGATTATATTATTAGTATTTCTATTGAATAGTTATTTTTAGATAGTTATTATTTTATTGAATAATTATATGTTAGATATTATTGATTCTTAAGTTTGTGTTAATACCAGCAATAATAGCAATGACAGCAATGACAGCAATAATGACAATGACATCAACACTCATGTTAACACCAGAAACACTGATAATACTCATATTTAATTAATTTAATGACAACAACAATAGAACCAGTTATATTATATAACATGTAATTTATATAAATATACCATGTATCTTAGCTTAGAAGAATAATCTAATCAAGTCAGTTAGACAGTAAATCAAGTTAGATAGTTAATCAGTTTCTTGTTTGATAGAAACTTTTGAATAACTTGTAAAGTTATATTTGTATTGATTTTTGGTCTTGAAAGATAGATTACTTATAATAAATTATTGTTATTGACTTGAAAGACAGTCATTTGATAAAACTTATTGTTCGTATCATCACCTTTAAAATTCTAAATAATATACAAAACTTAGTGAAGTTATTGGATGTTATTCTAGCTCGTCACAACAAGAACACATGTTACCTACCTTTAGTGATAAATCTTAGTCTCTCCCATTATAAAAACTTAATCTTTTTCGCTCTTATCTTAATAAAACACGTGATTAATACATCAAAAACTTAATATCAATAAAAATGATAACAGTATCAGACATATTCTCATGCTGGGATATTCGATATACTATGTAAAAACGTCACATGATATATATTGAGTACCCTAGCCATGGCGAAAAAAATGTTAAGATCACGTGGTAACCAATAAGAATCGTGAATTTTGATCAGCCCAGCAAAACAAATCCGGCACAAGGAAATGAAAAAGTAAAAAATACGGGAAACAGATATCTAAATCTAGCTTGATAGACTAATCAAAAATGTCGGGAAGGCAATTTTATTTATAATCTTGACTCCAGATCTAATACTAACCTTAAATTAATCTTTGACAATAATCTCTATTATCATAGAAATTTTCCGGATATACCCGAATATCACATGATCTGAACACTTTTTTGCCATGGCTAGATTTAATGATTCGGGCTAAAGTACTTTTCAAAGTCCTAAATATTTCGGACTTTGAATTATCATATAAGTTCTAAAGTGTCCTAAATGTCCTAAATCCTAATTTAGAAATTTTTTTGCAGATCATTTGGTGCTAAATACTTTAGCCCGAATCACTAGCTAGGTTACTCGTATATATGCGGGTCAAACGACAAATTATTAGCTAAATTTGATTTACATAGTGTATCGGTACAGTGCAATAGAAACAGTATAAATTGTATTAGAATTTATAATACAATTTACACCGTTTCTATTGCACTCAGCCCATAATATATCGAAAATCGAAAAATCAGCCACATTGTCAAATAATGATATCATTACATAATCCATGTCTTCTTTTTCTGCAATTTTGATCATAACGATAAGTTTTTCATTTTGCATTGTTAGTCATGCAAAGTCTATCAAATTTTTTATACATCATAAGTTTGAAAAAGTATCGATAGCTTGTGACATGTATTATTCTTGCTAGACGCAAATTGACTTTTGCAAGACCTTAAAGGTGAGTAAAAAAAATTATGGTCCCATTATCTCTCGAACAGAATTCTTGTATCCATTCCGGAAATCTAAATAAAAAATAATGATAGAACGATCTTTAAACTCAATCGTAAATGCTAGAAGAAATAGGTTCACGTAATACAATTTTCATTACAAATTTCCTTTACCATTTCCATCCCATATGAAAGCAATAAAAACGAAAACAGCTTGTCTCTATATTTAGAATGCTCATATAAATCGCATTTTATATTTAGCATACTATTTTTTTACTATCGATATTAGCTAGTCATAACACACATAACTCGCGTATGTTGTGCAAACTTCCCAATTGCCTAAAATAATAGCCGTATCTATGGATGCCGATATCTTGTTAATTTATAATTAAATCACTAAGAACTTGGACTCATTCGACTTGCTTAATCAAGACGAGCATTTTGGTATCGGATCATTAAATTGGTCGCATATTGGCGAAGGTATTAGAGTTCTAAATTTGCGTAAAAAATAGCTTGCATAGTATTAAGACTTTGTCTCATCCCCAATTCTTTCCTTACACGAGATAAATAGTCGAATACTAACCCTGTATAGCAATTAAGATTCCATTCTCAAAGGGGCATTTAAGAGAATAGAAATTCTTTTTACCTAATCCGAGACAACTCCAATCACCCCACATGCCTCGATGCGAGTGTGCTTTCTTGCATACCGGGCATTTGGCTTCAGTACTAGTAAAGTTAAAAACATCTCGATACCATGCCATTGGGTTAGAACGTGATAAGAAAGGGAAGCGCTTAACTACAGTTTCAATAATACTATCTCGCTCTTCTGGAAACTTTGGAAACCTTGATTGGTGACATGGAATCATAATCATTATCATCCTCTTCGATTTGGGATTCAGATATATGAGACGAAGAACTAAGAGAAGTGGTTGAGATACTTACCTCAGTTTCCGGAAAATCTGCATCATCATCATCATCATATCCTAGATCCTGCGGGTCAGAAGAGTCAGAGGCTGAACTTTCGATTTCTCGGTAGGTACAGGTGTTATACTTGCCTCAGTTTCTGGTAAATCATCTGAAGAATCATTGATAAACTCATCTCGATCATCGGTCAATTCCATATTGGGATTCTTAGAGAAATGATCTATAATTTTTGAATTTGGGAATTAGTAAATCTTGAAATAGTATCCGCACTATAGGTTTTGATGTATTGAATCTTATCCATGTAAATTCTTAAAGCTTTTTGTGTTTGCTTACATAGGTTTCTCTCGGCCTTATTGTCAATTTTCTCAGCCTCAAGCTTGGCAATTCGTTGTCTTAACAATTCTAATTCTGATGACATGTTAATAAATGTTTTATATAAGACAGGACTTGTTTAAGTTTCAGCGAACAAATGTTCGTCCAAATCACACGATTAAATTTCAGCGAACAATGTTCGTCGAAATCACATAACCAAAAATTCTGATACACATGCCCAAAAATTTATGTTTGATATGCCTTGGGGAGGGGGTCGTGGTGCTGATTTAAAGGCAAGTAACCATTAGGAATCTCATGATAACGAGTAATATCGATCCTGGGTTCTCTGCCGAGCTGGATAGAGACTACGAGCTTATGAGATCTCTGGGGTTGTTAGATAACGAGCCCGAGTCTAACCATAACGAAAATGTGTCAGATAATGATGATGAGTCCGATGATGATGAATGTGACTATGAAGGTGACAATAATTTGATAGATGGTTGGAATTATCTGGCTCGCTACGGAGAAGAAGCATGGAAAAATCTCCTGAAAGTCTGGATGGCCCACCAGCGTAATATTGTTCTCATGGAATTTACTCGTAGACTTCCGAATATTTCTGGAAAAGTAAGGAATGGGTTGTTTGATGCGTTTTCCAGATCTAGCGCGCTCGTTGTAAAAGTTCATAATTTGTTTCTGGATACATTAGCTCATCCTACTAAAGGCTGGAATCCCTACCCACTCTCTTCTTTCGTGATCAGTGGATAGTAGATCTTTATATAGACATTTTGTATATGCGAAGCAAGTAAAGAAAAATGTGATCATGTCATCATCTGGCTTCGAACATGTAATGTGAGAAGGCGGGATTACTAAGTAGACGCATTTACTAACGGAGCTAGCAAAGCAAATCGCTTCCCCTCTTTGAACAGGTGGTACTGTAATATTTTTTTCAGCTACATGAGGAAATACAAGCAATCTTTATTTTTGGACGAGATTTACGGATACATGCACACTCACGATTAAAAGAGCAAATTAACCTGAGCTATTATTTTTTCGGCTACATGGAGTAATACTAGTATTTTAAATTTTGGACGCATACGATATTTGCAGAATAATCGAATAGCGATCACTCGCGCGGTATGATATTAATTTGAATTTTGTTAGAAAGCACTTATCTTTCAAATAAAGTGCATTTGTGCATTACTATACTAGCCTGTCCCGAACTACAATAATAACTGCCCGAAAATTATACAATACTGGCATGTCATCAATTGTAGTGCAATACACTCACAAATTTCATCATTTCTGTCTCATACTAATAGCACATTGTTACAGCGATTCTGGATAGTGGGTTTCACTGAGAATCACTATAAGCATATGATATTGGGAGAGGGATGATTAAACTTAAGTAAAGAAAATGAATTATAAATATTAGCAAAGGTTTCTAAGGCCTGTGCCAATATCTATGGATATTGTGTGTTCAAAGGTCTAAA